TCATTCCTTAGCATGTCCAAGGCCTGCCTGGGGGCAGCGTCATGATGGCCCAAGGTTACTGCCCACAATGTGCAGTCTCCCTCCACCCTCCCACCCATGGTAGACTGGGCCCTGCCCTCCAGGACATGTCCTCTTGGGGGTCAGAGTGTGGGAGCCCTGGCAGCACAGGGAGATGGGTACAGACGCTGGAATAGTCCAGGGGGTTGGGAGCCTGCTGAGAGGGGTGTTTGGAGGGAGATAACAGCATGGCCAAAACTCAGGATGCCTTAGTGCATGCTGGGAACTGAGGGGCCTGAGGAAAAAGAGGCGTCAGGTGATGCCTCAGGCAACTCTTATTCTATATGTGGTAGCCAATTCACTGGTGATCCTGCAGTGATCAGCATCGAGGGGGCAGGAAGATATCCCACAGGATTCTGAGACGTTGGAGTGCTGGCCTAGGTGGAGGCAGGGAACCAGAGGATTGTGGTGGCTACAAGAAAGTGGAAAGGGCTTGTGTCTACTTGCTTGTGCTGGGGACCCAACAGATGGGGTAGGGTGGGTAATATGGATCTGTAAGGGCCCCAGCTCTATGGAGTTCTGGCCTAATAAATGGGAGGGTGGGCAACAAATGCCTTTGGAGTTTGAGATGACCTTGGGCCAGTCACTGCTGCTTGCCACAGCATCCTTGGTTGCACCAGGTGTTAAATTTCAGGCTGCAGGTGGGCACCCTGGCCACATCCCAGCTGAGGACAGTCCCAGATAGAAGGCCGTGTTATCTGCACTGCCTCCTGGCCTAGCTTTGCGCAGCCTCCACAGCAGCTGCAGATTCTCTGGAAGAGCTTTGCACCTCCGCCCTATGGCAGGGTTGAGCCTTAGGAGCCCAGTCTCCAGGCAGCCTCCAGCCTCCTGGCCTCCCCAACTTTTGGAACCTTAACCTTTTCACTTAACCCTGTTAGAGGTGGTTGTCTGTTGGCAGGTGAGACTGAGGGTCATGGAGGACCACTGCTTGTGTTGATTGGTCCCTGTTCTTCTCCGTCTGTGAATTGGGAGGTGGGAAAGATAAGATTCCCGGGATTCTCTCCCACATACACTTCTGCCAGGTGTGTCTGGCCCATTTACAGCCATCGGGTCTCTTTCAAATCATGTTTTAATTATTCAGTTACTGCCAAGAGGAAATTGCTAGTTGCTTTTCCAGTATCAAATTCTTCCTAGTCTTTCTGAGAATGTTCCCAGGAAGGAGCCTGGAACCTTACCCCAACCAGAGGAGGAGGGAATCCCATGACAGCCCATGAGGGGGAGGAATGGTCCAAGAGCTTGTGTCTATCAGGACCGTAGCCATTTGGCCCTGATCGGGAAGGAGAGGGAAGACAAACTCTGCTTCTTGGGGAATCGTCCAGGACGGGGTGGCAGAGGCTCCCCCTCCTTGCACAGCCCCTCCTCCGGCCACCCTGCTTCCCAGGGGGCCGGGAGCAGGCTTGGCAGCTGCATCTCAGGAGGAGGAGGATGCCTGTGAGGTCCCAGCCCTGAGTGCTGGCTGCTGCCCCTGTCTTCTGATTTCCTCCCACCCATGGTCCTGTTCTTCTACCCCCAGCCCCCATCTGGAGACCAGGAATCAGCTGAGTCAGTGCACCCTCACTTCACAGACATAAGGGCTGCATCTTGGGGTGGGCATAGCAGAGAACTCTCTTCCTTCCTTTTGGGCTAAGCTGGGCAGTCCCCTGCCTCCGGGCAGCTAGGGCGCGTGCCGATCTTGGCAAGCAGCCTGAACAGCCCAGAAATCCACCCAGTGCCCCCGCCTGCCCTCAGCCTGGAGAATGGGCCCTTTGTTGGTTTCAGGCTGGACAGACAGCTGACCTGGTCGGGCTGTCAGCTGCCTGCCTGCAGCAGTTGGCCAGGGCCATGCAGTGATAAGTGCAGGGGAAGCCAACTGGGCCAGCCTGGGTCTGGGGCCTCCAGGGCCAGGGGCCACCCGCCTGCCCCTAGCTGCCTCCCCTTGGCTCTGGACAGGGGTCCATCTGCAGGGACCTGAGAGTAAAAGGGTGAACCTGTTCCCTGGCCCATCTGAGGGGAGGGCAGATGATGTCCCATTGGTGTTGGTATTAGGTGCTCAGCCCATGATCAGTGCCTTGCCTGGCCCTGGCTACAAGATGTGTCTGGGGGTGCTGATAGCCCTTTGCCTCAGTTCAGAATCTAGGGGACTCCCCAGTTCAGAGGGACAGGGAAGACTGAGGAGGAAGTGGACAGACTGGGAAGCTCAGGCAGAGGCTGGAGCTATGCCCCTCTGGGACAGAGCTGTGGGTGGGTAGGTGGGTAACTGAGCCAGGTGCAGCCTGAGATGTGCCCAGGAAAACTGGACAGCGCTGCTAAAGCCATCTAGGCAGATGGAGGGCTCCTTTCTCAGCAAGGGCGAGTAAGGGCACCAAAGCAGAGGGACCTCTATGGCAGAGCTGGATTTGGGCTCTGAGTTTTTCGTGGTGGGAGACAGAAGGGAGGGCGGTCGCAGCCAGTCCTGGAAGTTCTAGTGGTCTCTCGGGAAAGGTTTGCCAAGCACAGAGGTGACAGCTGGAGGTAGGGGGGAAATGCCAGGGCATTCCGAAAGTCTCCTGTGTGCTCTCACAGGCCCAGCTGTCCCAGGGTGGGCCACCTCCAAGTAGGTGGCCCTAGAGTGGACAGCTGTGGGTGTGGGTGTTGTGTTGGCATGTGCACTGCTGGTGGCATGTTCCCCGATGTCCTGCCAGAGGTCTGGCCCTTGCCTGCCCTGCATGCGCATTCTCCCTGGAATGCACTCCTGGTGGCACACTGCACCTATCCTCGCACTTTTGGGGCAGACGCTGTGTAGGGCAGGTGGACAGACAGATGATGTGTTTGCTCCGTCGCAGCTGTTGGGTGCCACCTGTCAGAGTCGGCATGCTGCCGGCCCAGGGGCGGGGGCATTCCAAAACCCATGCCTGGCCTGCCTCCCCTCTCCCACCTTCTCCAGGACCCCTGGGAGGAGGCCCAGCTCGCCCCCTACCATGACTCAGAGCTCATGTGCCCCCCTGGATTGACAGCCATGCCTCAGCCCACATCCTCATTCCTGAGAGGGAAGGTGGGGTTCAAGAGTATCCCCTGTCAATGACCAGGGGGCAGGTGTTTCCCAGTGAGAGACTTGACTGGGGTATTGGCGGGAGAGGCCGTAAGCTTGGCACAGAGAGATGGGGTCGGCTTGGACTTCTGAGTGCTGCTAGAGGCATCTTCAGGGATGGGGGCAGGGGAGTGCCAGGCCTTGGGGAGAAATCCAGATTCCCAATTCTAGTCACTAGGACAGCTCAGGGACTCCACTGGGGCCCTGTCTTGCCCTCCTGTCTTGCTCCCTGGCTGCTGTCCAGGCTGGCTCTGTCAGGTCTGTGTGACTGGCTGCTAAGGTTTGGTGATTGTCATGGGGCCTACCTTTTGGCCCCGTTTGGCACACTGGCTTGTCCCTCACTTAATCCTCAGAAAAGTTTTGGTGTGGGGAAGGCTGGTTGTCATTCCCCTTTGACAGGGAGGGAAACTGAGGCTGAGAGAGGTTCACCACCCTACCAGGGTCACACATAGGGTGGTATCTGAGCCAGGGCTAGGGCCCAAGCAGTGTGTGTCCAGAGACAGGACTCGGCTTCCTGGGCCCTCTGATGTCTCTTCTGGGCCCAGCCAGCTCAAAGAGCTGTGAGTAGCGTCTACCTGCAGGCCACCCACCCAAACAGGGCAGGAGGCTTGTGGGAGTAGGCTGGATGTAGGTTAGGGTCCTGTCTAGTGTCCACAAATAGGGGCTCTGAGGATGAAGGTCCCCTCACTTGGTATCTTCCTCCCAGAAGCCGGGCTGGAGCCTTTTGGGCAGTTACAGACCCACCCCAGGTTCATCACCCCCTGCCCAGCACTGGGCCCTGCTCTTCCTGGTCTGGTTTGACTTAAGCCTGCCTGCTTGGCTGGGAGGCAGCTGAGAGGATGTGCAGCTGAGCAGAAGAGGGGGGTGGCTCCGGGCTCTCAGGAATGCGGCCTTCCCAGTCTCTCACAGCCAGCAGCCTCTGGCCCGGAGACACAGCGCCACACCCTGGCTGGCTACCCTTGCCCAGCCCCTGTCGAAGCTTTTCCCTGCCCCGAAGTCCACCCCAGTCAGTCAGGCCCACCCTGTTCATCAATGTGGGGGTGCAAACAGGGACTGAGCCCCGGCCCCAGCCCTGCGCCTGAGGTGGAGGTGGAGAGGTGGGCCCTGGTACAGCCAAAGCTGGGAGGGGCCTGCGCAGAGCCAGAAGCCCTGTGCCCTGGGAGCCTGCCCAGACCAGCTGAGCTGAGCTGGGCTGACGCTGCCCCATGAGTCCCATCTCTGGAAAGCCCCCGGGGTCTCTCTGTTAATTAAATACATTTGTTTGGTAAAAGCAACTAAAAATACTTGTAGCATTGCAAGCTGCAGAGAAGAGCTGGCTAATTAATGCCCGGTTTGTTTGGGATCTGAAATACAGCTTCCTCTGAGGGAGAGCCCCAACGCCAGGGTGCCCTGGGGCACGGCCCCGCACACTCACGCAGTCTCCTCACCCTGGAGGCTTCAGGGGTCTCACTTCTTAGCCTTCTCAGCTGTACGGGACCTCCCATGCGCCCTGCAGGCCCCTCTTTTCCTCCCTCCCAATAGCCTCTCCTCCGGGAGGTCCAGTCTGTCCCAGGGAAGGTGGTGAGTTTTCAGGGGTTACCTGCCATCTTTGCATTGGGTATGGACGTGTGGCTCCGTGCTAAGTGAGGGGTGGGGGCTATGGTTCTCTCCAATCCCCAAAGACCTCCACCCTGGGCTGTGGCCTCTGTTGACTGAAGAAGGGTCTAGGCTAGGACCAGCTTACCGGTGTGCAAAATGTCCTGCGCAGGCCGCTTGGGTTGAGGTGGGGCCTCGGCCTTGTTCTTGTAGGGCTTTGGGGGATGGCTAGGGGAGGGACTTGGGACCCCCACTTTATGTGGGTGTAGGACTGGGGCACAAAGACATCGGCACAGCTTCTCTCAGGCCTTCAATGCCACAGATCCTGGTGGACCTGGCCAACCCTGGCGGCCGGCCAGCCCTGGCCTACGAGAATGTGGTGGCCCAAGAAGGTAGCCCCATCCTTCGTGACCTGGTCCTCAGCCCTGACCGCCAGTACCTCTACGCCATGACGGAAAAGCAGGTGGGTGCTACACTGATAGATGCATGTGGGTGGGGTATCCTGGGGGCTGTGCGTGGCCCCCAAGTGGGGCAGGTGGGGGGCAACTTCCTCTGTGCTTAAGATGTGGGTCAACAAGCCATGGATCCCCTGGAACCTCGGAGTCCAGGCAGATGGGAGAGTAACTGGCTGGAGCAGTCGGTTCTCTGGATGACTCACCTGTACCACTTGCTCACTCCCTGCCATCACCATCCTTGGCTCCCAGGAGAGAGGGCTAACTCAGCCAAGGCTGTGTCCCCCAGAATAGTCCTAGCTGGAGGAACTCCCAAGATGGGGGTGTCCTGGATTATGGGGTCAGAGGGGCACATGGTAGTTCTGAGGAGATGAAGCTGGTAAGTGGTCCTGGGGTGGACCTGGTGGAGCCTGACACAGAGTCCCCTCCTGCCAGGTGACACGAGTGCCCGTGGAGAGCTGTGTGCAGTACACATCATGTGAGCTGTGCCTGGGCTCCCGGGATCCCCACTGCGGCTGGTGTGTCCTGCATAGCATGTGAGTCTGGATGGAGTAGGGTGGGCAGGAGGGCCCTGGGAGGGCCCCAGATGGCCTTGCTGTGCAGCTCAGGTGGTCACAGCTCACCTCCGAGCTCCTCTGGGTCTCCATGGGTTTGGCAGTTTCCTGTGACCAGCTGAGTGACAGCCAGTCCAGCCACATCCCAGTCAAGACAGGGTGCAGTGAAGCTGGTGGGCTTCCCCACGTACAGGCGTCGGCTCTGCTGAGCATGGGCTAGGTGCTGGGTTGCTCCTTGGGCTAAGCCCAGCCTCTGCCTGTAGCTGCTCCCGTCGGGATGCCTGTGAGCGGGCGGATGAGCCTCAGCGCTTTGCCTCAGACCTGCTGCAGTGCGTGCAGCTGACTGTGCAGCCTCGCAATGTCTCCGTCACCATGTCCCAGGTCCCGGTGAGTGTGGCCACCTGGCTTGGGCCGAGGGATGGGGGTGGGGGAGGGTGGGAGGGAGGAGAGGTGACAGGACTCCATTCACCCACACCTCCTGCCCTGGGTGCCCTAGCTGGTGCTGCAGGCCTGGAATGTGCCTGACCTCTCCGCCGGTGTCAACTGCTCCTTCGAGGACTTCACTGAGTCTGAGAGCATTTTGGAGGACGGCCGTATCCACTGCCACTCGCCGTCCTCGGGGGAGGTGGCGCCCATCACTCAGGGCCAGGGTACGTGCACCTCAGCTGGGTCTGGGCAGTGTTCAAAGGGGCCTCCTGCTGGGGAGGTGGACTGTTGTTGAGGACAGAGAATGGATGTTGCATGGTGACCAAGGAGGATGGCAAAGATGCCAAAGGGAGCAGTATATAGACAGGAGACAGGTGCAGGTGCAGGGACCCCCCTGGTATGCTCAGGTGTCCATCAGGCCGAGGGGCTGAGGTGCAGCCAGGGGCTGTGTGCTTGGTGGTTGGGATGGTCTGTGGTGAGATTCCTGTGCGGGGGTTGCCTACATGGGTAGTCCTGGTGATTTGAGCATGTGCTGCCCTACAGGAGACCAGCGGGTGGTGAAGCTCTACCTGAAGTCTAAGGAGACGGGCAAGAAGTTTGCCTCTGTGGACTTCGTCTTCTACAACTGCAGTGTCCACCAGTCGTGAGTGTTTTGAGCCTTGTGCACGGGCAGGACATGGTGCAGTGGTCAGGATGGGAGGCGAGTTCTGCTGTGAGAGCACCCCCTGGGCAGAGGGGCCAGATGGACCTGAGGCAGGGGCAGCAGTCAGAGCAGGCGGATGGTGACCTGCACTGGTTCACACTTGGAGAGTCTTAGCCTTGGTATGAGGAATGGCCTGTGGGCACCAAAGCAGGCAGGGAGCTCCGGAGCGGGGGGAGGAGGCTGCTAGGCCGTCAATGGTGTGCCATGGGACAGGCTCTTTAGTACCTGCTGTTCTGGGACAGATAGTAGTCCAGGTCCTCTCTACCTCATGTTGCCCCAGATGTGGGTTGGGGGGTGGGGGATGGAGAGGCTGAGGCACAGAGAACCAGGATGGAAGCTGGTGCTGGCTTGGTGTTATCTGCTGCCTGTCTTAGCTGTGAGTAGCAGGAAGAATGGAAGCAGCTGAGGACCTACTGTTTGTCTTGCCATGGGCCGGCACACTGGGCCTAGAGGGGTGCTCTCAGCCCCATCCATGACCTGGAGGATGCCTGGCCTTGGGAGGGACAACATGGGTGTGGGGACGGTTGGGTTCAGCCTCAGCTGTGCCTGCCTTTGTTGATGTGGCTTGGATATTGTTAGTACCAGGGTATGACCTCTCTGTTCTGGGCGGCCGGGATCCTTGAGGCAGGGGCTGCTCTCCAGAACTGGAGGGGATTGAGGGTCTCAGGAGAAGCCCAGCGGCTGCAGGTTGGTAGGTGCTCAGAGAGCCGGTGGCGTTTGCCTGGGGGTGGTAGTGAAGGGGGCCACGGAGGCGGAAGAGACGAGGTACGGGTCATACACTGTGGGGGTGGAGCACTGAAAGGACCCTGTCCAGGCTCTGGGGACGTTTCAGAATGAATGGGACAAGCTCTTGCCAGGCGGAGCCTTCAGGGTGGTGGATATCTTCCATAGCTCTATTCACCAAAATTTAAATCTAAGTTAAAACAAGACAGAATTGAAAATGTACTTACTTAGTGTCACTAACACATTTCCAGTGGTAATGGTCATGTATGTCCTAGTGTGGACGGTGCAGACTTTAAATGTGTCTGTCATCAGGAAGGCTTTGTAGGCTGGTTCTCAGGTGGATTGTCAGGTTATTGAGGGTCTGAGGGAAGAGCAGTGAAGGAGGGAGGAGCACCAGGCAGTTCAGTGGGTAAGACCAGCTTACAGGGAAGGTCTCTCTGAGCAGGTAGAGGATCAGCCAGTGCAAAGGCCCTGGGGTGGCCCCATGATCAACCACAGGAGGAACAGCAGGGAGATGCTGTGATGTGGCCCTGTATGGCAACTGGTGGAGGCAGGTGATGCCTGGCCTCATTGTCCCACTCTCTTCTTGCAGCTGCCTGTCGTGTGTCAATGGCTCCTTCCCCTGCCACTGGTGCAAATACCGCCACGTGTGCACACACAATGCTGCCGACTGCGCCTTCCTGGAGGGCCGCGTCAATGTGTCTGAGGTAAGGCATTCTCAGGGGAGGGGGGTTGCAACCAGGTGTTGCCTGCAGGTGTGCCTGGGAGAGCACCTATGGGCAGCTGGGATGCCAACCAAGAGGTCTATGAGGTTGGGGACATCCTTCATGGCTGTTCTGGCCGGAGGCCAGCCAGTGGCATTTGTTGGTGGTCACTGAGTCTCTTGTGACCTTTAGGGGAGCTGCAGAAGCCTCAGACCACATGGGGCACCATGTGGAGAGGGGTCTCACCATGCAGGACAATGGGAGCCTGGAGTGTCAGGTGTCTGGCTAGGTGGGCCCAGTGCCCTGAATCCATGTGGACAAGGGGACATGTCAGATTGATTATAAGGAGCTGGTCAGTTCCTTGGAGCCATCTGAGGTCCTGGGTGGTAACTGATGGTAATTAGCTCATAATTATTTGGAGTCTGAACAAGGTACTGACTCCATGAGCAGTATGGTCACTACTCCTGAACCCAGACTTTCAGGACCAGAATGGGCAGCTGGAACCTGCTAGGCAGGGAGGGAGTGGCCAGGGGTCTCCATGTCTAGCCCGCAGATGCAGAGCCACAACTTGAAAATAAGGTCCTATTCTTTGCAGCAACACCATGCCTGTTGGTAGGACAGGGCAAGAGGGTGTGGGTCCTGCCGGCCATGGGGCACTTGGCCTGAATTTCTATGAACAGTCCCAGGGCAGAGGAAACACATCACACACAGGGCCCCTGCCATGCTGTGCGCTTCTCCCCACAGAGCCTCCCCTGGTTACCCTTCACATCACCCTCTGCACCTTTGTTGCACACCCTGGGACAAGATGGCAGTAGGGGGCAGGCTAAGAGCAAGCAGGGACTGCGGGCATCTGGACGTGACAGTGTCTGTGAGAGTGAGAGTGTGAGGGCCAGGGCCATAGAGGGTGGGCATTGAGCTTGCGGGGAGTTTGGCCTGTGTGAGGAAATGGGCTAAGGTGTCCTGGGGGTGGGCAGGGACCCTGGGGCCGCAGGAAGTTAGTGGGGCTGATTCCAGGGGGTTAGGGACTATGGGGTCTAGGAGCCTCAGTGGGCTGTTGTGGGCCTCAATGGCCAGGGGAAATAGTGCAGCAAGTGCAGACCCCTCCTGAAGAATCTGCTCATGCAGGCCGAGTGGGGAGCGATTGTGGGTCCAGGGAAGGTTATTGGGGGATGGATTTATTCCACAGAGATGCTGTCATAAGTTGTAGTCCCAAGTTTTATGGGTACATTTATAGGGAGTGTAACATCCACAGACAACGAATCCTATTGTTTGGAAGGACTTGGGCTCCCAGCCCAGGCCTCTCCTTCCATCTTTTGTTTGGATTTGGCTCCTCTGGGGCTGCCCTTCACTCAGGAGATTGCTCATTCTGCAGTGTCTTGGTTCCCTACCCCATTGGGAGGAGTCCCCAAGAACCCCACTACTTGCCCTGTCCCTGTACTCTCATGTTCGCTTGGGTTGTTTGAAGTGTAAGCCACCAGAGCATGTTAGGGAAGGGCGTTGAGGAGGCAGCTGGTGCAGGTCCAGTGCCTGGCAGGGGTCCCATGTAGAGCACCACCGAAGCTGAGCCCACACGCACTCTGGACCCAAACCTAGAAGCTAGGGCTTTCTGCTAGGAATGCTGGGTCTGGCTTCTCCAGGAATGGGAGGGGTGGCCAGCATAGGGCAGTCATGTGCCTTCTGTCCTGGTGGCCTCCTTACCAGGAGGGACTTGCCCTGGTCCTGGTGTCCCCGGAAGTGGAATGGAAGGGCAGACTCCTAAAGTCTTACTGTGTGTAGGCAGAAGAGTTCTAGGTCAGGTGACTAAAAATCTAACTTGAATCATATAAACAGTTGTGGCTCCTCACTCACTTTGTAGATTTGAGCCGGCTTACAGACCCAGAATGGGCAGAGATGGGTCCCCGTAAGGAAGAGCTCTGTCCACATTACGTATCTTTCTCCCAGCTCAGCTTGGCCTCAGGCCACTGGTGGTGTCTGAAAGGAATGTCAGAATCCTTTCAATGGCTGAGGTGCCAAGGCCCGGCCAGAGAGAGGAGCTGGGATCTCAGGGACTACACCTGAGACTGACAGTGGCTGAGATAGTGTCCACAGAGTGAGGTGTGAGGCGGGGGAACAATGAGAACGATTCTGGTGGCCAGGATGAGCCAAAGCTGCCTGGTGGGTCCAGCAGGGACAGACAAGGTGTAGGGAGGCAGCAGGAAGATCCCTGGGCCTGGTGGCTGGGCTGGGCACCCCTTCAAATGGCAAGGAAAGTGCTGGCATAAATGAGGGCCCCTGAGCGCAGGGCTGGTGGCCCTTGGTACGTGTCACCATCATTTGCTGGTGGAGATGGGGACACGCTGTAGACCCAGGGGAAGTGGCAGCCTGCCTGGCTCTGCTCCCCCAGAGTCACAGGCCCCCAAAACCTCTGCAGAGCCAGGCCTGGGCCCACACTCCACTGGGAGGTACTGCAGGCCTTGGGGATTGCGGCCTGTTTTCAGCATCTCTATTTAAAGCCCAGCTCAGTGCATGCCCCTGGGTCTGTCTCCTCCTGTGGCTGCTGCCAGTGTGCTGCAAGGGAGCTGGGCTATTGCATCAGTTATTGTTACCAAAATGCTGGCCCTGGGGGCCCCGGCTGTTTTTCTGCCTGACTATTTTTACATGCTTTCTGGGCCCCCGGCAGAGCTTACAGCCCCAGCGCTCTCTCTTGGCTGCTTCTGTCTCAAGGGCCTTTTCAGCTGTGGACCAGATGGGACCTCTTGGTTGCTGAATGGTGGGGTCCTAGAACATTAGACAGAGTACACTGAGCCCAGAGGGGGGAGGGCCTGCCCCAGTGCACAGAGTACAGCCACACAGCCTGGCAAGTGTAGAACCCAGGCTTCCTGCCTCTGGAGCAGCTGGCTGTTCTGAGGTCCTCAGTCTTCCAGTGTATAAAGTGGGCACAGTGGTGCTTGCCCAGGAGAAGCACGGGCTCTGCACATAGATTACATTCTGGGATACAGTGGGGTACACTCTGCTCACTGGCCCCCTCTACGCTCAGCTGAAGCCTTGTCACCCCCAGGACTGCCCGCAGATCCTGCCCTCCACTCAGATCTACGTGCCAGTGGGCGTGGTAAAGCCCATCACCCTCACTGCCCGGAACCTGCCACAGCCACAGTCGGGCCAGCGTGGGTACGAGTGCCTCTTTCACATCCCGGGAAGCCCGGCCCGTGTCAACGCTCTGCGCTTCAACAGCTCCAGCCTGCAATGCCAGAACTCCTCGGTAAGGCTGGTGGAGCTGGCAGGGGCTTGGGGAAGCCCTTCTGCTGGCCTGGGCTGGTCACACTCACAGCCTTAGGATCTGCTTTCTGCTCCTGAGCAAACGGATAGGGCACCGTCAGGTGTTCTGTGAGCTCCCAAGGGTCTACCATGCCTGGGTGTGCGGGTGGGGCATTGCCAAGAGCCACCCAGATGTTTGGAGGGAGCACATCTCAGGAGTGGGAATGGGCAATTTAGATGTGGCAAGATATGCAGACAGGGCTTTGCCTGGGGTCTTAGGAACGCGGGTGAGGAGGCCAGGCTGGGAGTGTGGAAACTCCCACATGCTGTTATTACCCAATGCTTCCAGAGGGCCAGGGGCAGGGGGATTTGTGCCCAAGTACTCAGTTCCTTTTATATCTCCTGTGGCCAGACACAGAAACTGTTCATAGTGGCCCGTGCGTTTGCATACTAGGAGGCAGGTGTTGCCCCAGTGCCAAGCAGCAGCCACATTGGGAGCCTTGAATCTAATAGGATGATATTTTCAAAGCTTGTTACCAAGTTTAGTGAATTTAGTAATTGTGATCTCTGTAGAATCAAAACCTTTCCTTGTGGATTGGGTGAGTGGTGGTCCCGAGAAGCCTCTTCCACCTCTTTCTGTGACTGCTGGCAGGCCTCAGTCTTCCCATCTGTTCAGGAAGAATGTAATTAGGAGAGGAGGGGTTTCCTGCGGTGCCAAGGCCTTGTTGGCTTCTGAGTTCTCTGCAAGGCCTGCGTTTGGCCCCCACCCTGTAGAATCCCAGGGGAAGGGCCCCTTGCCAATGGTGGCAGAGCCTTCACCAACCTCTCCTTTTCGTAGCAGGATGCGCTGGGGGTCATAACAGGCTCCTGGGGGCAGGTCAGCCAGCAGGCTATCCTGTCCTTTCAGTTCTCTGCCTTCCTTACTGTATCACTGACTCTGCCAGCCACACCTTCCACCTGCATCTCTGTGGCTCCTTGTTCTAGCCTTGTCCACCTTCTCCTTCCTCTCCATCTAAGGCCGTCTGTGTGTATGTCTCTCTCTGTTTTTCTGTCTCTTCAACATCCTCAAACCTCTGTCACCTCTTTCCCTGCACTCCTCCCCTCTGCCTCTCCTCTCACCAGGCCCACATTTATCTTTTCTGTCACCATTTTTAAAGAGGAGAGGAGTATCAGGGAATGTGATAGGATCCAGCTAAATTCCTGCAGATAAAATGATGATGGATTGCTCTGGGATGGAGTGGAGGGCCTCAACTGCAGACAGTGGGGCACAGCAGGGAGTGCTGGGCCTGAGCTCCCGGGAGGGGAGGGCCGAGCCTAACCTGGCAGTGCTTTTTATCAGCCTTTGCCCACGGCATGGGGGCACAATTCAATTCACAGAGCATCCCTGACACGCATCCTAGGGGTCCAGCTAGGAAGTCCTGGTGGGGGAAGTAGGGAGGTCATCCTGGAGGATACACCTCATTTGCTGCAGGGTCAGAGGTTTGCCTGGAGGGCCCCTGGGAAGGAAGACCTGGAGTTAGGGGCTTGGAGGGAGAGCTGGGTCTGGCAGAAGAGGATTAGTCCTTAGATTGGTTGGTGGCCAGGTGTTTCTGTTGGGTACCACTCTCTGGATTGGAAACACTAGTCTGGACAGGCGAAGCCCCAAGAGCCTGCCCCACCGAGCTCGCTCCCAGCATCCAGTCCCAGCCGTGGCCAGGAGGGGTACACAAGCCTTGACCTGCCTCCCGGGGTTTTGGCCTGACTGCACTGCATACTGTCCGCAGTACTCCTACGAGGGCAATGACATCAGCGACCTGCCTGTGAACCTGTCGGTGGTGTGGAACGGCAACTTTATCATCGATAACCCTCAGAACATTCAGGGTGAGCCTGTGGGGAGGCACGGGGGGTGGGACCGTGGCTTGGCCCGGCTGACTGTGTTTCCCCCTACAGCCCACCTCTACAAGTGCCCGGCCCTGCGGGAGAGCTGTGGCCTCTGCCTCAAAGCTGACCCTCGCTTCGAGTGCGGCTGGTGCGTGGCTGAGCGCCGCTGCTCCCTGCGTCCCCACTGCCCCGCTGACGTGCCTGCTGCCTGGATGCATGCCCGCCACGGCAGCAGCCGTTGCACCGACCCCAAGATCCACAAGGTAGGTGCACCTCTTGGGCCACCGAGGGGAGCGGGGTCTCTGACTGCCTCGCTGCCTCCCCGCGCAGCTCCTCATGGCCCTTGCTGGCCTCCCACCCTGTCTCCCCACAGCTGTCACCAGAGACAGGCCCACGGCAGGGAGGCACCAGGCTCACAATCACGGGTGAGAACCTGGGCCTGCGCTTCGAAGACGTGCGGCTGGGCGTGCGAGTGGGCAAGGTGCTGTGCAGCCCCGTGGAGAGCGAGTACATCAGCGCCGAGCAGTGAGTGCAGCCCGGGGCGGGAGGGGGGGCCCCGATGCCCAGCTGCACGCTGCAGCCTGCTGAGGCCTCTGGTGCCCCACAGGATCGTCTGCGAGATCGGCGATGCCAGCACGGTGCGGGCCCACGACGCCCTGGTGGAGGTGTGCGTGCGGGACTGTTCCCCCCAGTTCCGGGCCCTGTCGCCTAAACGCTTCACCTTCGTGGTAAGCCCCACCCCACTCAGCCTGGAACCCTTCCTTCCCGTGAGGCCTCGGGGCGGTGAGGCCTGTCTCTGCACGGCCTGGCTTGACCCAAAGGCTGTTTCAGGTGTGGGGCTCCTTGTCCTCCCGTGGGCCCCCGCATGCAGCAACACCTCTGCTCCTAGTCGCCATCTCCCCTCCTCATCCCTGGGTCTGACTCCAGATGCCTCTGTAGACTTTGGGCCCTGCCTATGGGCTCTTTCTGAGAGTCCATGAGCGCAGGGCCGGGCAAGGCTGGAGATGCAAGCAAGCCGCTGGGCGGGGGGGCTAGGCCTTTCCTGGAGCTCCAGCAACTTCCTTCTTCCCACAGACTCCAACCTTCTACCGCGTGAGTCCTGCCCGGGGGCCTCTTTCGGGGGGCACCTGGATTGGCATCGAGGGCAGCCACCTCAATGCAGGCAGTGATGTGGCTGTGTCTGTTGGCGGCCGGCCCTGCTCCTTCTCCTGGTAAGGGGGTGAGGATGGGGTTGGGGCTGGGGCTGGGGGGTAGGTATGGCCCACCTTCCCCTCGTGGTGGTTGGTTCAGATTGCTGCATGTCCCCTCCCGTTGCCTGGGAAACAAGGGGAACCTGGAGAGCCTGGCCAGGGTGATCACTATGGAAACTAGTGGTAAGAAGGTTACCATGGAGACAGGCTACCTCAGAATGGGAAGGGCAGGTAGGCAGGGCTGACCGGTGGGCAGGGCCTGGGCTCAAGGGGCAGGTACAACCACCCTGTCCTGGGATTGAGGGATCCCTTGGGAACATTAATAAGTATTTTTTAAAAAATTTTAAGAGAAAAAATGCTAACAGCAGCCCTGAGGCTTGAAATAGATAATTTTAGATTAGGGATGATAATGGAGCGGCCCTTTAAATATTTTCCTGTGGTAATTACCCGTTATCAGACTAATTATTGGTGTTTGCAGTCTTGCTGCACTCGCAGGCCTGGTTGCTGCGGGCCTCCCAGCTGTGCTGCAAGAGCTGCGGAGATGGGGACCCAGGTGCAGGTAGCGACTGGCTGTCTGCCCAGTGGGGGTGACCCAGTTCCTCCATTCCAGCCAGCTCGCTTTGCCTACGCACTCCAGGCCCAGGCTTAGCCCCAGTTTCACATCGGGAGGCGTGTGCATCACTCATGTAGCAAGAGTTGGCACTGAGCTTGGCACTCTAGTTCTCCTGGCAGCAGAAGCCACAGGCTGAGTCGAAGCAGTGCCACAGCAGGTGGGAAGGTCAGGGTTCCACAGTTTCTGTCTCGCCAGCCATCCCTGGGCCTCCTTGAGTTCCCTTACCACTCAGCAGCCTGCTTGTGGTGACTGCCCAGGCATGGGCATGGCTGGGTCACCTGGGGAATGAGTCAGGATTGCCCCTTAGCTGGTGGGCAGGTCAGATAGGGCAATTTGAATACCAAGTGGGGCAATTTGGAAGGAGAGGGCCAGGATGGAGTCCAAGATGGGCAGATAAGCGCCTGACCCCTCGGAGGGGCTAATGGGAAAGTGGCTGTAACAGTCCTCAGGTCCTGGTGTGCCCCGTTTTACAACTAGGCAGTAAGGCCTGGGGAGTAACTTGCCCACGTGCCTGTTTTTGATGGAACCTGGGAGGTGAGCTGTAGCACCCACATCCTCACTGTCCCATGGGCCCTTCCAGGAGGAGTTCCCGGGAGATCCGGTGTCAGACACCCCCCGGGCAGAGCCCTGGCAGCGCCCCCATTGTCATCAACATCAACCGTGCTCAGCTTACCAACCCTGAGGTGAAGTACAACTACACCGAGGACCCCACCATCCTGAAGATTGATCCCGAGTGGAGCATCAACAGGTGGGGCTGCCCCCGCCTGCCCTGAGCCCCAGGGGCCCCCCCTGTCCTCTGGGATGCTATGAGGACGGAGCTCTTTGCACTGGGTTCTCCTCTTCCTCTTCCTTGTGTGGTCCTGCCACCAAGTGTTTTGTTTGGAGGGACCAGTTGAATTTCTGGTGGTTTCCTTACGGTGGTGGTGCCTCGTGCAGAGCTGGGCAGGGTGTGGCCACACCCTTCCTGTGCTGCCCGGGTCTGTGTCTGTGGATGGGAATAGAAATAACAAAGTTTAAGACTTTGGTCATTCCCCTACTCCAGATGCAGCAACCTGGAAAATTGTGTTACACAAAAATTTCTCTAAACTCTGATGTTGCATTCTTTAAAAAAAAACAAAAAAACAAGAATAAAGATGTTCAGCCACAGCTGTCAGGATAATGGATCCCTGTCCGCCGATGTGGTTGATTTAATCTGAGTTCTGGTGCTGAAAGATTGTAACCTGCTTGTGTCTTTTGGGAAGCTGGGTGGTGTGTCTGGACCCACCTGTGTAGGGCTGGAATGGAAAGCTTCACCCATGACCCCTCATTCCCTTACCCCCTCATCTTCTAGTGGAGGGACCCTCCTAACAGTTACAGGCACCAACCTGGCCACTGTCCGAGAACCCCGCATCCGGGCCAAGTACGGAGGCGTCGAAAGGGAGAACGTGAGTTCTTGCCCCTCCCTGTACCCCTCCCCCTCCTGTGCAGCCCAAGCTGCCTTGGCAGTTGCTGTGCTTGGAGACCCCGGGGAAAGAAGCCATCCCTGGCCTCTGGGTGTGCCTATGCGGCGGCAGCCCCTTGGCCCTGCCAGGGCCGGGCTCCATGTGCAGAGCAGCTGGCCCAATGTCCTCGCACCTGTGTCCCCAGAACTGCCTGGTGTACAACGACACCACCATGGTGTGCCTGGCCCCATCGGTGGACAACCCTTCCCGCAGCCCGGCCGAGCAGGGGGAGCGGCCTCAAGAGCTGGGCTTTGTCATGGATGACGTGCGTGCCCTGCTTGTGCTCAACTCCTCCTCCTTCCTCTACTTTCCCGACCCCGTGCTGGAGCCACTTAGCCCCACGGGCCTCCTGGAGCTGAAGCCTGGCTCCCCACTTATTCTCAAGGTGGGCCTCACTCAGCGGGCAGGAGTGGGGGTACAGGTGAGGCAAGGGCCACCGGGGCTCTAGCTCATCCGCACCCTCCACCCCCAGGGCCGAAATCTCTTACCACCTGCACCTGGCAACTCAAGGCTCAACTACACGGTGCTCATCGGCTCCACGCCCTGCATCCTCACAGTGTCGGAGACGCAGCTCCTCTGCGAGTCACCCAACCTCACGGGGCAGCACAAGGTCACGGTATGTCCATAGCCCGGTGACCTGTGCCTCAGCCCTGGCTCTGGTCTTCTGGGTCCTTCCTGTCTTTGACCTGCTGACCTAGTCCCACCTATGACAACCCCAACTCTGTGACAGAGCCCAGCTCCAGGCAAGCCCTAACTTGGCCCTCATCCAATCCATGTACTCCAGGTGGCCTGGTACTTCCCCTGGGTCCCCATCCCCACTGAGCAGTCCAGGCCAGAGGCAGATGCTGTGGGGATCTTGAGTGTGTGGGCCCAGGAGCTGTGAGTGGGCATGTCACCTGAACAGTCTGTACCCTCCCCTCCAGGTTCGGGCTGGTGGCTTCGAGTTCTCCCCGGGCATGCTGCAGATGTACTCAGACAGCCTGCTGACCCTGCCCGCCATCGTGGGTATCGGCGGGGGTGGGGGCCTCCTGCTGCTTGTCATCGTGGCGGTGCTCATTGCCTACAAGCGCAAATCTCGCGATGCTGACCGCACCCTCAAGCGGCTGCAGCTCCAGATGGACAACCTGGAGTCCCGTGTGGCCCTCGAATGCAAGGAAGGTCTGTTGGAGCTATGGGCAGGGAAACATGAGGGGTTCCAGGGACATAGGGCATGCTGGGGTGCTGCTACCTCTGAGCCAGGGACTGCCTGCCTGCCAACTTCACCACTCAGTTTGCAACATTTTTGATGGCCTCCCTGAGCTGGGCTTGTTCCCAGTGAGTTAGGCAGGGGCCTCACTGGGGCCTGGGGCCTTGGGGCCTTGGGGCCTTAGGCCCTTAGGCCCTTGGGGCAGGTATGGCTTCTGTGGGATGCTGCTTGCAATGCAGACTCTAGCCATCTGAGCCCATCTTGGCTGTAGAACACTGGACAGACACATAATCGTGGGTGTCGTGGTTCCTTATCTGTAGGATGGGCATAGTGCCAGTGCCCACTTCACTGGGCACTGTGAGTGTCCAGATGGCCTGTGCAGAGCCTGCAGGGCAGTGCTCCATGCATGCTCATGCTAGCGTGGTGGCTCCATGCCTGTGACCAAGCATCGAGCTGAGTGGGGCCTTTCCTTTACCCCTCAGCACATGCAGACCCTGGCCTGGTGGCCTTCAGTCCTTGAGGAGCCCTTTCTCAGGGAGTCAGGCTATAGTCCTCTGGGATGGGCATGTGTACGTCGACCCTGGAGTGTGAATGGCAGAAATCAGGGCAAGTGCAGAGTACGCTGGCTTCCGGAATGTATGCCTGTCAGGAATCCTTTCGTCTTGGGGCTCCTCGCTCTCGGTGGTGACAAGATGGCCATAGTGGGTGAGCTTAGCTTCCCTGCTGTGCCCAACTCCAGCCAATTCCTGATGTTACACCTGGTCACATGCTCCCCAAGCCTGTGACCCTGAAGCCCCTGATGAAAAGTGGGTGGACCCCAAGGGCAGGTGAGGGTGGTCCAGAGAATGAGGTGGGTTCTGGAGGCAGAGGCTATAGATGTCGGAATTGGGTGAGCAGTGGGCTAGTGGGTCAGGAAGCTGGAACTTCCTGATATTTCACAGGAAGGCCAGTGTGCCCAAGGTGCCATGGCTCATCCCTGGCAGAGTTGAGGGCAATGCTGCTGGCTGTGTGGGTGGGACTGAGTACTGGCAGCAGGGAAGTGGGGGCTGGGGCTATGGGCGATGGGCTGCACAGTGGTCACTTGAGGGTTAGGTTCAGCTACCATGATGGCCAGCTTCCCTGGCTGGGTATGAGGTGGTGCCTCAGGGCTAGGGCCCCAGCAACAGGCCAGTCCCTACCTACTCATGGTCTCTATGCATGTCTCTGAGCAACATCTAAAGGGGTTGGGGCTGTTATGAAGGGTGACAGCAGCACTGGTGATAATCACCAGTTATGTTTGTGAGGTGCTAGACACAACCATAGCATATTGCTGATATTGACTAGTGAATGCTCACAATTCTAGAAGCGGACACTAGCAGTGTTCTAATTTTGAATGAAGAAAAGGAGCTAAGTAGTAGGGTAGACCTAAGGGCCTCGGGGTCATAATGAGCCTGTCATCAGATTGTTAACTTGAAAGGGACCAAGGTATCTTTTTGCTAAGTACCTGCCAGTCCTGGGAGCCTCCTCACTCCCTGACAAACCCACCTGCCACTGATGGGACATAAGCAGGTGTGCAGGGACCAGAGCAGAGTTCTGCAGACGGGAACCTCTACAGGTGCAAGGACGGCTGCCCACTGAAACGGGTGTGCATGAAGCCTTGATCTGCCAGCGTGTGTAGGTGCAACAGCTGGCGGGCTCTCCCGGGCAGCCAGGTAGAGATAACCAGAAGCCCGGGCCTGGGGAGATGAAGGCCCAGCTCTCAGTTAAACTTGCCAGCTGTTGCCCAGAGCCCGCCAGGCATTCCTCTGTCTCCTGATCAGATAGCTCATTCCTAGGGCTGCTCCAGGGTCAATGCCTCACACCTCTAGGATATTTCCATCAGGGCCTGCACCTGCCTGCCTGGTTCCTGAGAGAGGCTGAGCTGTCTGGGGTGGGCGGGCAGTGTAGCAGCCTGCAGGCCTGAGCTGTGCATTTGATGATTGTCAGTGTGGAGGTCTGGGGGGCTTGCACAGCCCCTGCTTCCTGGCACCTCTGCTGCCCACCATCTCCCTCATCTGGACATGCCCCTTCTCTTTTCAGGCAGCTGAGTCCAGGGGAGCCAGGGTGGGCAGTGGGTGCCTTCTCAGCTGACACCCATTATTACTCCACCCCCACATGCCAGTGTGCGGTATGAGGAGTGAATGCCTGTCTTAGCAAAACATTCCCTAGTATTGCTGCATGTTGGGAGCACCATGTACCCCTCAGGGCCTGAGCCTTGTTCAGTACCTTCTCTGCTCTCATCTTGGCTAATCCTGTGACAACTCAGAGAAATAAAGGGATTTTATTCTTGTGTTAGGACTAGGGAAACTGAGGCAGGGGCAGTAGTTTCCTAAGGTCACCCCACCAGTGAGCAGCTGAGCCAGGGTGTAAGCCTGATCCTGAGTGGGGGTCGGGAGCCTGGAGGCCAGTGGGGCACCTGCCTTGATTCCTGGTCTGGCCATAGCCTTTGCAGAGCTGCAGACGGATATCCACGAGCTGACCAATGACCTGGATGGTGCTGGCATCCCCTTCCTCGACTACAGGACATATGCCATGCGGGTGCTCTTCCCCGGCATTGAGGACCACCCCGTGCTCAAGGAGATGGAGGTGGGCTGCTGGTCGGGGCTCATCCCGCATCCATCTTGGGCGGGGGGGGGGGGGCCTCTTGGGGTGCTGGTGGGCAGCTGGAGGGTCCTGATGGATAGCTTGAACCTGCAGGAAGGGAGCTGGGAAGCAAGGAGAAAGGTCAGGAAGGAGTCCGGGGTGGGAGAGTCACAACCCAGCAAACCCCTCCAGTGACTGGGCTCCTTGGGGCCGCCTTCGTTTTGTGGAGCCCTTTAGTTTGTCTCATACACCCTACAGCTCATCCTGGTCTGTCTCCTGGGTGGTTCTGAATGCCAGGCTTCACTGGGCAGGAGCCCAGCCCATGTATGCTGGGAGGTGTGCCCAGCTGAAATTCTTGTGGCTGTTTGGGGCAGGAGCACGTGACCAAGGGAGCATGGAGGCCATCAGAGCTGGGCCTTTCTCTGAAGATGTCAGAGTCCTGGCTGTTGGCACAATACACCTTTAGGGGCCTCCATGGCAGGCCAGGAGCCCAGTTCCCAGCTGGGAATAGCCAGGCCCTGCAGATGAGCTGTCTGTTCTCTAGCCGAGGGCATCTCTTCTCGCACACCTCGCATGTTGGGGCCTGCTCACCTGTGCGGCTCCATTGGTGGGATGTTTCCTCTTAGACTGAACCTGAAAGATTTCCTGTCACTCTGGCTTGGGCCCAGGCGTTCCCTGGGATTGCTGCCTGCTGGGAGCTCCGTGTCCTCTGTCAGGTCTCTCTCCTCATGTTGCTCTCTGCTGTGCTAGTCCAGCAGCTTTCATAGCTGTGACTGTGTGTCTCTTCTTGGGACCTGCCATCTGTCTTCCTGGGCTGGGAACCAGATGTTACTGGTGGCCTCTGGCACAGCCCAGTAGCGGGGAACCTCCTGCCTGACAAGCCTTGGTACAGATAAGAGAGCGAGCCATGCCTGCATCCCACCTCTTTATCCCACCTCCATGCCTTGTGGCCCTAATAAGCTTCTTCCCCCCTGGACTTCAGGCATCTTCCATGAAGTTTCTGGGTTGATGGTTGTGGCAAGAGCAGAGTGAAAACATGGATGTGCATATGGGGTGTTGGGTTGGGCTCCCTCCAGCCTGCTAGATAGTGGCAGGAACAGGCCCCCATTCTACACCCCTAACTAACGCTGGTATGCCTGGGTCTCAGCCTGGGTGGGTGTCTCAGGCAGCTGCCAGGCTACATCCATTCTGCTGAGGACTGTTGAGGCCTGGACACTGTCAGAGTGTCACCTGCCTCTGAGGCCTGCTCTGCGGCCTCGCCCTGCCCTCTGGCCCTGTCCTGCCCATAAGGCCTCTTCCCTCTCTGCCCCCCTGCCCATGCTCCTCACCCCCACCCCCCCGGACAGTCCTGGGTACCCTGCTGTGGGTCTGAGCAGGCTCCTGTCCTTTCAGGTACAGGCCAATGTGGAGAAATCACTGACACTGTTTGGGCAGCTGCTGACCAAGAAGCACTTCCTGTTAACCTTTATCCGCACGCTGGAGGCCCAGCGCAGCTTCTCCATGCGCGACCGTGGGAATGTGGCCTCGCTTATCATGACGGCTCTGCAGGGCGAGATGGAGTATGCCACGGGCGTGCTCAAGCAGCTGCTGTCTGACCTCATTGAGAAGAACCTCGAGAGCAAGAACCACCCCAAGCTGCTGTTGCGGCGGTGAGCCCACCCCTCCCACCTGCAGACACCAAGGCCCGCTGGGTGCTCGGCCTGGGGCGTCACTGTAGCGGTTTTAGGGGAAGCCCCGGCTTCCTCTGACCAGAGATTGGTAGTGGGGACCAGGTGTTGGGCGTGGGTCTCCACTCTAGGACCATCAGTGCCGAGACATGCTCAGAGGCCTCCTCTGGGGCTGAGGGCTGGGGTCTCCACCGCAGCTCCCCAGCCGTGAGTGCCTTTAGTGCTATAGGAAGGGGTGAGGGTGAGGGTGAGGATGGGCATATGTGTGGGCCTGGCAGTGGGAGTTATGTCACCTGCCTCTGTCTGTCTCCAGGACTGAGTCAGTAGCAGAGAAGATGCTGACCAACTGGTTCACCTTCCTTTTGTACAAATTCCTCAAGGTAGGTGGGCTGGGGAGGAGAGAACAACAAAAGGGTCTGGGGACAGATGAATGGGTGTGAGGGAAAGAGGTCAGAGATGCACAGTCTCAACCCAGAGTGGCTCAGAGTGGACTCCCGCAGGACATGCACCCATTGGCCCCTCTCCTGTCTCTATGAGGCTGTCCAGGCCTCACCCAGTCACCGAGGCAGGAATGGCCACCCCAGCTCTGAGGCATGCTGTCTTGGGCCTCAGCCCGTGTGCAGCTGAGCTGGCGTTTGAATACAGGCCCAGGTTTCTGCACTGTACCCATGGCTCGGAGCTAAGGATGAGGAGGGATGACCTGGCAGGGGAGTTCGTGTGTCCAGTACCCAGCACTGGGCCAGCCTGGGGAGACACCTGGGGCCTCCTGATGGCTCCCGTTATGGGGAGAAGTTGCACAGACAAGCCCCTGTTCAGGGTTGGGAGAGCCCCACCCCTAGAAGACAGGCCCTGACCTGTGCCGTCGTCAGAAGGGGTGGAGGCAGAGGGCACAAACTGCAGCCCCAGGTCAGATATGGGTCCAGGAGGATCCCGTGTGGGCTGCATATAGAGAGTGGGAGATCGCTCAGACCCAGGCATCTGCTTTTCCTTGAAATTTGAAGGCTTGGCAGATACACTCAGGAGGAGGGAACAGTGTGTCCCAGGCCCAGACTGTGTGTGCATTCGTGCTTCCGCTCATTTCTCTGACCTCTGTAGGCGCTCTGCGGATGGCCAGCATAATGGGCAGTGGAGCTTAGTGACCTGAATATCCCCGTGATTGCTTCTTAGCCAAGGACCTGTTTCCTGTGTCCTTACTGAATTGGGGACACCCAAGGGGGCCTTCAGCCCTTCACTCAGAATGCTGTTGGGCCCAGAGCAGAGTCCTGCCTGGCTGGGGAGAGAGGGTAAATAGGAATCAGGACATGTGAAAAGGGGCAGATGTCAAGGGGTGGGTGAGGTTTGAGGAAGGGAAGGAGTTGCTTAGCAAGGCAGAGTGAGTAACAGCTCTGAGGTGGGGGTGAAGTATTATGTGGACAGGGAAGACAGGCTGGACAGGGCTCCTCTGGGAAAATCTAGGCCTGTGGAGAGTGCCCAGCAAATGCTGGGGTTCTTGTTATGCTGAGCTGGGAGCCAGTAATGAAAAGTTGTGCATTTCCTGTAAAATTCGGTGAGACGGTGATGTATTTACACGCTCATTGAATTGCACTCTGGAATCAGGAGAAGCAAAGTTTAGAAGACATGAGCCATTAGGTCCGAGCTGCCTTAGCTTCATCGCCCGTCTGCTCCTGAGTCTCCACAGCTGAGAAATCCAGCCTGAGGCCTGGACTGGGTGTGTGCTATGTGATGCCTGGTGGAGGGTCAGGCTGCAGGAACTAGGCCAGTGAGGCCGGCGCAGAGGGTTGAAGGCAGAGCGGTTGAGTGGGTGCTGTTATCAGGAAGCTGTGGGTGCTGTGGGCTCGAGGATGGGGCCACTTCATGGAGGTCGGGTCGGGTTGGTATCAGGTATCGGGTAGAGGGAGAGGAGGCCAGGCTTGGCTAAGGGAGCGGCAGCAAGGCAGTGTTGAAACTACAGGCCAAGTTGACTGGCCCACCCTTCCAGGGTTACATTGAAGAAGCTGAGCAGGGCCAAGGTGTGCTTCCATCTGCTCACAGCACCCCTCTACTCACAAACCATGTTTGCCCCTCACAAAGGATGTGTGAGGTGCTGGGCAGGAGGCACTGGCCCAGAGCCATGTGGATCTGCAGGAGGGGTACCCGACACTGGCTCAGGCTCCTCCCGTCTACATTAGCTGGCCACTGACTTGGTGCCACAACTGTTTGGGGGTTTTTAATGTATACGGTCACTCCTCTGTGACTGCAGGTTCTATATCCATGGATTCAACCAACCACAGATAAAAATTTTTCAGGAAAAAGACGTTACATTGTCACTGACGTGTTACCATGTAGTTAGGCCTATGATGGTTGTATCTACTCTGGACTAGGTACGGACTTTTTTCTTGCCATTGTTCCCTAAACAGTACAGTATAAAACTATTTCTACAGCGTTGACATTGAATTAGGTATCATAAGTAATCCGGAGGTTATTTAAAGTAAGTGGAGGGTGTCTGTAGATTATTTGCAGATACTATGCCACTTTATATAAGGGACTTGAGTGTCTGTGGGGTTTGCTATGGGGAGGTCCTGGAACCAGTCACTGTGAGTACTGAGGGAGGAGTGCACTTTATTATTTTGTTTTTTCAGTTTTAGCAAGAAACAATTGACATATATCAATGTGTAAGTTTAAGCATGCAACATAAGGGTTTGATTTACATATATTGGGAAATGATTATCACAAAGGTAAGATTAGTTAACATCTCCATCTCATATAAATAAATAAAAAATTCTCATGATAACAGCTTTTTTCTCCATTGGTCCATACTTCGACTTGCTAGACTTTTTTAGAACAATTTTAGTTTCACAGCGAAATCAGGCAGAAGTTACAGAAATTTTCCATATATCGTGTGCAGTCTCCCCATTATTGCATCCTCCACCGGAGTGGTGCGTTGGTTACAATCGATGAATCTAAGTTGAAATAACATCCCCCAAAGTCCATCGTTCATGTGAGGGTTCCCGCAGGTGCTGCGCGTTTGGGTTTGGACAAATGGCGGTGACTTATACCCACCATTGCATATTAGTAGCTTCACTGCCCTGAAGATGCTTATGCTCCACCTGTTCACCTGGCAGCCACTGATAATTTCCTGCCTCCAGTTTTGCCTTTTCCAGAACGTCCTGTAGTTGGAATCATACAGTCTGTAGCCTTTTCAGACTCCTCTTTCATATAGTAATATGCACTTGAGGTTCCTCCATGTCTTCCCATGGCTTGAAAGTGCATTTCTTTTTAGTGTGCCCTAAATTGTTTTTAAACACCCCAAATCCCTGTCATTCTTTGCTGTCTTTAAGAAACAAAAAATGAACTAGGAAAGTAACCCCTGTTCATTTTAGCATACCTAAACAGCACAGAGTGCTGAGCCGTCCTCCCAGACTGAGGGTGACCACCATCAGTGTTTTGATGTGTGTTCTTCATGCTGGTTTCTGAACTGTGAAGCAAATATCTATAAATAGCATGTATAAGAAGAAATTCTAAGAAGAAACCCTTTTCTTCACTACAGGTTCTTTCCGTTCTCGGGCTGTACATTTCACACTGCACTGTACTTTCCCTCCTCAGGCAGAGGTGTGGTGGCCTCCTTTGCAGGTGGTTTTTCTTCTTGTGAACAGTTGCGTAATGTTCTCAGTGTGAGTGTTGCACTGCTGGAGGTGGTGGGAGAGCTTGCATTTTCCTCTCCATGGCCTGCACTGCGGCCAGCGTGCTGATCCAATGATCGTTGCTCGCCGTGTTAATGCTTACGTGGATATCCAGAACAATGATTGTAGGTGATCAGGCATGTTCATTTTCTATTGGAATATATGCTTCCAAGTTGTTTGCAAAGAAGGGTTGCACCGATTTAGTGTTTGAGAATCTTACCCAGGCTTTGGATAATACCTACTTTATCAGCTTTTTCCCCCCTCGTCTTTGCCAGCTTGTTGCTTTAATTACTGTTTCTCTAATATCTTGGGCATCTTTTTGTTTGATTGGTCACTTTTATTTTTTTAATGTCTTTTTTTTCAGTCCTTAATTGCTTTTTTAGGGTTATTTCTTCTAGTAGTTTATACAGGGTTTTAAAAAAAAATACTAAGTTTCCATTTTGTATAGCTCCTGTGTTGTTCATAGAAATGATTTTTGTGTACTATGTGAGGGAGGTTCACACTTGATTCCCCCTCCCCCCTCTGAAGTGGAGAAACATTTGTCCTGACATCATTTATAGAATAGACTATATTTGTATTATCTTTGTACTTGAAAATTCATTGGTTGTTTTTGCATGTTCAGAGCTGGGGCTGGGAGGCATTTGAGACATCCTTTTCCCTCCCTTTATAGGAAATTGAGCCCCAAGGAGGGTAGGACTAGATGGGTCCTTGAGTTCTGGGCCTTCCTGTCTCCTAGCCTTAGATCTTCCATTCTGACTTTGCCCCTTCTGAGCAGGTTTTGCACGAGTGGTGGAGCCAGCACTGGGGAGCCTGCTGGCTGGATCAGAAATAGATAGCCCGCTCAACCTGCACCCTCTGAGGACATTTGTCATTTGAGGGCAAGGTACTTTAGAAAGACATGGATCTAGGTTAGAATCCTGGCTTCCCCATATTCACTGTGTAACCCTGTGCCAGTAACCTTTTCCTTCTGACTTTTAGAAATACCCCTTTCTCTTGCGCCGTGCAAGCAGGGGAGCCTTTGGGCGGGTGCTTGGTTTGTCCCCCAGCCACTCTCTCCAGATGGGTTTTGCAGGAAGAGGCAGCTATTAATGGCAGGGCATCCTAATGTGCACCCATTCTTGCCTCCTTCCCAGCTGACTTAATGAAGTCAAGTTTGCAAATGAAACATAATTTCAGAGATAGACATGTTGGGAGTCTAGGGCTGTTTCTTTAATGATTGCAGATGCTAACAAGATGCCCAGAGCGCCTGGTTATGGGGCAGAGCTGCTGCTTGTGGTGACGGAGTGGGTGGAGTAGGCCAATGTGCTGCCTTCTTGGAGCACATTCCTAAACTCCATCCTCTGGGCACCAAGGCAATACCAGAGCCTGTGCCCACACTTGGGCCTTACCTGTGCAAGGGGCACAGCAAGTCAGGCCCCTTGAGGTGTGGCTAGCCTAGGACAGACACAGGCCAGGGCCAGCCTAGGACAGACAGGACTGGTGAGCTCTGACGTCGACTGTCTTCACTTTGCTGTAAGGACATGAGCCCCTTCCTTCGACATCTCTTTTCACTCATGGCATTTGTTGTCCAGCAGTGTCCGGAGCCCCAGGCATACCCAGGCTCCGTGCTAGGCATTGGATTGTAATGTGGGTGAGCCGGCTGTGCTCTGGCCCTCAGGCAGCTTCCATTCCAGCTGGGAGAGGGCCTCACAGAGAGCAACAGAAGCTGGAGGTTGTGGCAGCGCCCTGATGGTGATGAGGGCCAGCAGCTTTGGCCTGGGGAGCTGTTCCAAGAAGGCAGGTTGGGTAGAGTTCAGAAGGGCCAGTGACGACCTGAGAAGAGATTGCTGACTATAGGGACAGCAGTGCCAAGGCCCTGAGGGGGGAACTAGGTGTTTGGAAGAGCAGGAGACAGCTTTCGTGGCTGCTGTGTGGTAGCTGGGGGCAGCGGTCAGGGTGGGAGCAGAGCAGACCCTCACAGAATGCCCAGAGGCCGCCCCACAGCACCGTGGCTCTGACTTCGTGCCCTCAGTGCTGGTGAACTGCCTTGTGTCCGTGCATCCGCACCTCGCGAGTAACGGAGCTGGGCAGCAGGGCCCTGGCAGCCAGCAAAGCAAGGTCATGCCTAGTGATCTGTGGCACAGGGTCTGCCCTCGTTGTGGTCCATGGGGATCCGGAATGCAGTGTTGGCGCTTCAGGCTCCAGTAAGTGGGGTGCTAGGGCGTTGGCTAGGGACGGGGGCAGTGGACCCGCTGAGGCCTGAGCTTTAGTTTTCTTTGGCATGAAGCCCACGTGGCCACATCATGTTTTCTCATGTACTCGTGACACTCTGCTAAGGTCGCGTTGGGGTTTCACGTCAACATTCAGAGGGGCAGCGTGTCTGTTTAACTTATTCTCTTGCAGTCTTTGTTGGGCTCTAGAACCAGGGTCCTACGTGCCTTCTTAGAAGAATTTGAAAATGTTGCTGATTTCCCCTTGTGGGAACGGTGCAGAGGCACTGGGGGCAGGTGGGCAGGGGCAGAAGCCCCTGGGGTCCTGGCTGCAGCCTGACCCCCCCCCCCCACTTGCCTGCTGCCACAGGAGTGCGCAGGGGAGCCTCTGTTTATGCTGTACTGCGCCATCAAGCAGCAGATGGAGAAGGGCCCCATCGACGCTATCACTGGTGAGGCGCGCTACTCCCTGAGTGAGGACAAGCTGATCCGGCAGCAGATCGACTACAAGATGCTGGTGAGCGCAGGCCCAGCGTCCTGCCCTGCCCTGCCCGCCCCCCACGCATGCTCTCCCACCGGCCTCCTCCCTGAGAGGTGAGTGCTGATGGTGCACCCCTCCTTGTCCCCAGACCCTGAACTGTGTGAACCCTGAGAACGAGAACGCACCTGAGGTGCCGGTGAAGGGACTGAACTGCGACACAGTGACGCAGGTCAAGGAGAAGCTGCTGGACGCTGTGTACAAGGGTGTGCCTTACTCCCAGCGGCCCAAGACGGGGGACATGGACCTGGGTGAGTGAGGGAGGGCTCCGTGCTGTTGGGCAGTGTGGCCGTGCTGAGGTTCTGAGCAATGGGCCTGCCAGGGTGGCCTCCCAGGTGTGCAAGGAGAGGGGCAGGGCCAGGGGTTGGGTTTAAGGGCTGGAGAAGTCCAAGCAGACCCTGGCTGCTGGTGGAGGGTGCTGGAGGCCGGGAAGGGGTGTTGAGGGCTTGAGGGAAGGGATGTATTCCAACAGCTCTGGATGTGGGCAGGGCAGGGTGGAGGCAGGTGGGGTTGAGGGTGGAATCAGGGAGTACACTTAGAGGGCCACCCTGTCCAGGTAAGAGTCAGGGATTGGGGTTCCCACTTACTGGAGGAGGGGGCGGGCATCGGAGCTGGGGCAGGGAACTGGGGCAGGGAGTGGCACTGGCTCATGAGCTGGGCATGTAGGGGAACCCACAGAGCTGAGCGGGGTGGCAGAGGAGGAGCAGCAGGCCTGGGAATGGGGAGTCTCACCGTGGATGTGGCTGGAGAGGTGGGGGCACCAACATGGAGGCCTCCAATGCCAGGCTGAGGAGTTGGAAGAGCTTCCTAGAACTCAAAGGCAGGTGTTACGTGGGGGTTGGCTGCCTGGGGCAGGACAGCTGCCGCTGGGGGCATATGCTTCCTGCTCTGAGCCAGGCTGGGAGCTGCTAGGAAGGAGGGAGGGAAGGAAAGAAAGAGAGAGAGGGAGGGAGGAGGCTCTGCACTAAGTGCCCTGGGACACGGATGCTCCTGGGCTGAGAGGGAGACCAAGGAAAGGGGCAAATGGGCACCTGCCCGCGGCCCCGCACTCACCGTTTTCCTCCCTTCAGAGTGGCGCCAGGGCCGCATGGCGCGAATCATCCTGCAGGATGAGGATGTCACCACCAAGATTGACAACGACTGGAAGAGGCTGAATACTCTGGCTCATTATCAGGTGACCCTGCACCTCCCACCCTCTGGCATGGCTCAGCCTCTCCTCAGGCTCCAGGGCAGAGTGGAAGCTGGTGTCCGGCCCCTGGTTGTGCATGGGTGGCAGATGTTGGCAAAAACAGGGACATGGTCACATGTATTGCCTTCCCAGACCCACGACTGGCCCATCTGAGGTATACCAAAGGCTGGGTTTCTCTCTCTCTGCTAAGGTCAGGCCCTCTTCACGTGGCCCTTCGCCACTCACCCGTCTGAGGGGCGTCCACTGCTTCCTGTGCTCTGGGACTGGGCGTGGCCTCTGCTCTAGCTCAGAGGAGCCCTTTGCAGTGGGAAAGGGCCGGTGCGGGGTGCCGTGGGCCTGCCCCTGACTGAGGCTCAGAGTGTGAGGTGCCTGGTCCCCAGCACAGCCCTGAAGGATTGGAGGTGTCACCACAGCTCCCAGCGGTGAGTCATGAGTCTCCCGGCCTTCTGCCCACAGGTGACGGATGGGTCCTCGGTGGCTCTGGTGCCCAAACAGACGTCTGCCTACAACATCTCCAACTCGTCCACCTTCACTAAGTCCCTGAGCAGATACGGTGAGAGGTCGGGTTTGGCAGCAGGCAGGGCTCCCTGGCCTGGATAGCACGCCTATCCTGGGCCCCTCTGCAGCAGGGCCCCACCATGGCCTGTCACTTGGACACAGCCTTTCCCTCGGTTTGGAGGCTTCACCTTTTCCCTATAGCACATACCCACATACAGCATGTCATCCTCTGTCCCTCACAACCCAGGGGGCGGGGGCTGAGGACCCTGGTTTCAGAAGTGGAAACTGAGGCTCAGACAGAGGAGCTTCTAGCCCGAGGCTGCCCAGCCAGGGCCAGGGCAGGATGTGGGCGCTGGATGCAGTGGGCCTGCCAGCTGACTGTGTGGTGCCCGCAGAGAGCATGCTACGCACAGCCAGCAGCCCCGACAGCCTGCGCTCACGCACACCCATGATCACACCTGACCTGGAGAGCGGCACCAAGCTGTGGCACCTGGTGAAGAACCACGACCACTTGGACCAGCGAGAGGGTGACCGTGGCAGCAAGATGGTCTCAGAGATCTACCTGACGCGGTTGCTGGCCACCAAGGTAGGCCTGGGTGGGCAGGCGGTGGGCACGTGGGCGCAGCACAGCCAGCTGCAGGCCACCAGGGAGCTGAGAGGGTGCCAGTGGTGCCCTGGAGCTCTGTGCCTTTGCCTGCCTGCAGGGCACGCTGCAGAAGTTTGTGGATGACCTGTTTGAGACCATCTTTAGCACAGCACACCGGGGCTCAGCCCTGCCGCTGGCCATCAAGTATATGTTCGACTTCTTGGACGAGCAGGCTGATCAGCACCAGATACACGACTCAGATGTGCGCCACACCTGGAAGAGCAACTGGTACCTTTGGAGCGGGATTGGCAGTTGGGCAGGTGGGGCACAGCCAGGGAGGCAGGGCTGAGCAAGAGGCCTGTCCTCTGGGTACCCCATTCTGATGGGTGAGGGGAGAGGCTGCCTGGGTTTGCTCTCTCCCTGCTATGGTCAGACCCTCGTCATGTGGGCCTTCCCAGTTCACCCATCTGAAGGCCATCCACTGCCCCCCAAGCTCTGGGACTGGGCATGGCCTCTGCTTCAGCTCGGAGGAGCCCCTTTGCTATGGAACCTGCACCTGTGCACACATGGCTCTGTGCAAGGGAGTGAGTGTGGTCTTTGTGAGAAATGAAGTTGGTGGACCAGGCCTGTGCCAGCCATTGGCAGTGATGAGGACAACAGTGGTAGTGACAGCAAACACTTGGGGACTCTCATCCCTCCAGGTAGTCAGCACTCCATCCCCAGCACCCACTCCTCAGTCTGGCTTTTGTCTCCCTGAGCCTGAGCATGTGCCCCACAGCATCTTGCCCATTTCTGAGACGCTCCTGGGCCTCTGCCCCCAACCCCCACCTACTCCATCCCTGGTAGCCTTTCCCTCCCAGCACTCTGGTCTCCACATGCTTCTGCTTCCCAAACCTGGATGCACCCTGGGCCTCGGGCTTGGCCTGTGCTGCCTATGGGCCTTGGAGGGGTTCCATGGGCACCAGGGAAGGAGCATCGTCTGGTCTGCACCATCCAGGAGCATTCTCTGCAATGACAGAATGTTCTAGATCCAGAGTGGTGGTTTTGTGTCCCCATGTGGCTACAGAGCATTTGATGTGTGATTTCTGCAGCTGAGTTTCTGAATTTTCAACTTTGTCTATTTCAATTTAAACAGCCATAAGTAGCCCAGTTGATGGCTGTTTTAGGGGTGGCATTTTGGGCAGAGGTCAAATGTCTGGGATGTGTCCCCTGGAGCCATTCCTGGGCAGAAGCAGGCATGTGATCGTGTGTGAGTGCATGTGTAAGCCTGTGGCCATGTGGAGGACTCTCCTCCCGTAGTGTGGGTGGCAGGAGACAGCTCTCACTTCCTGAGAATCCTTTATAGGCCTCAGTTTCCCCATCTGCATGGAAATCCGTGGTCACTGAAAGGCAGAGCCGGGTCGGCTGGGAGGGGTACTGACCATGCATCTGACCTGCCCACACAGCCTGCCCCTGCGCTTCTGGGTGAACGTGATCAAGAACCCACAGTTCGTGTTCGACATCCACAAGAGCAGCATCACGGACGCCTGCCTGTCGGTGGTGGCCCAGACCTTCATGGACTCCTGCTCCACCTCTGAGCATAAGCTGGGCAAGGATTCGCCTTCCAACAAACTGCTCTACGCCAAGGACATCCCCAATTATAAGAGCTGGGTGGAGAGGTGCGACGAGTGTGCAGGGGGTGGGTGGTAGCCAGGGGCTGGGACCCAGCTCATGCGCCAGCCTGCCGTCTGCCTGCAGGTACTATGCTGATATTGCCAAGATGCCTGCCATCAGCGACCAGGACATGAGTGCATACTTGGCCGAGCAGTCGCGACTACACCTGAGCCAGTTCAACAGCATGAGCGCCTTGCATGAGATCTACTCCTACATCACCAAGTATAAGGATGAGGTGAGCACACCAGGCCTTGCCAAGCTGGGCTCCCACCCCAGGGCCCTTCTGCCAACCACATCCAGTGCCTGCCTCTGATCTGCTTGCCCATTGGCCACCTCACGTGCTGAGACAGGGATACAGCGCTGTTTGATCGCCCATCAGGCCTGGCAGGGTCCCCTGGGCTGCAGCAGGCCAGGGAGCATGCTCTGGGCCTGGGGGCTTGGGGGGAGCAGGGGAGAAGATTGCAGTGGCTTCTGACGTGGAGAACTTGGGTTGGTGAATGACTGTTCTCCAAGGGCCCATTACAACAAGCATGTCAAACTCGCAGCAGGTGAGCCGCATGCCTCCTTAAATAAATGAAGCACGTAGGCTGCGAGTTTGACCTGCTCGCGTTACAAGGTGGATGAGCTGGGCAGCATCTCCAGAGCCTTCCTCCTCTAGCATTTTCTGCTGACCTGGAGCGAGCCTGCAGCAGGTCTCCTTGTCATCCGCCTCACAGAGCTGGGCTTGACTAGTGGCCTGAACTGGTTGGGGCACACAGAGCGGGAGAGGCAGAATGGGCATGGCTATTGCTAAGGCCCTGAGGCCAGAGTGGACCTGGCTACAGGGCCATGGAGGCAGGAGGCTGAGAGGAGGAGGGGGAGCGGTAGGCCAGGCTGAGGCAAGGGGTGTGCAGGCCTTGGGGAACTTGGGCTTTCCTGTGAGAGGCCATCAGGCTTTGGAGACAGAGCTGTGATCTTTCGGGTGCCCAGGGGGAGGGCGAGTCAGGGACCATGTAAGGGCTGGGCCATGGGTGGGAGGGATCAGGACTTGTTGATCAGACTGGCTATGAGGTGTGACTCCAGACTCAAGATGGAATGAACTACAGGAGGTGGCAAAGTCTAAGGAATCCGCCTTGGATTTTTATTTAAGTTTGAGGTGGAGCTGGGACTTGGGAGAGACTCAGGTTCCAGAGTTAGCATGTGGGGGTCGGCAGCCACAAGATGGCCCTAGAAATGAGTCCAGAGCAGAAAGAGGACGGGCTGAGACTCAGAGCTGGGGCTAGGTATTCGGAGGTTAAGGTTGGGCAAATGTCCTGCGGCTGAGAAGGGTAAGCAACAGATCCTGGGGGACCTGGAGACGCTGCCTGGGGGTTGGAGACTAAAGCCTGCCCTCCTCAGGCTCATGAGGGAGAGAAAGAAGCTAGAGGTTCTGAGGAGCTGTACCATAAGGGGCCAGAGAAACAGGTGGTAGAAGGCGGCGTGCTGTCAGGCTGAGGCACTTGGGAACCAGGAGCGTGGACTTAAGGTGCTCCTGCTTCCTGGGCTTAGACGCAACAGGCAGAGTTGCCTTGCAGGGAGGGCCTCCCGGGGGTGGCGGCATGGCCGTGTCCCCAGTAGCCAGGCGGGGAACTGCACCAAGGGGGCATGAAGGGCTGGCTGTGACCAGAGCTGTTGGGGCTGGTGTTTTGTGGGTCGAGTGTAGGAATAGTGACCAGAGGGCAGGGGGACCCAGTCTTCGTACCAGTGACCTGGAGGTCCAGGTTCGAAAGCCACGTTCCTCAGCTCAGTTGAATGGATGGAATTAAGTATCTGCTGCAGGGTTCCGGCAGCCCCAGCCATGCCGCTTGCTCAGTGAGTGTAATCCTCCAGACGTGGTCCCACGTGAGCCCAGCGAGCCCGCCAGGCTCACTAACACTCTGCCTGCCCCTGCAGATCCTGATGGCCCTGGAGAAGGACGAGCAGGCTCGCCGGCAGCGGCTCCGGAGCAAGCTGGAGCAGGTGGTGGACACGATGGCCCTGAGCAGCTGAGCCACCACCACGCTGCCCAACGGGAGATCAGTGAGAGGGAGGCCTCCAACGACAGCCAAAGCTGGGAGGCCCCTGGAGGCAGCCTTCCCCCGCGTGTGCCGAGCGCCTGTGTGCTCGGGGCAGGCGTGCGGGCCAGCGTCCTCCCCGCCTCTCTCCCCCCTGGCTGGGGGTCCTGGTTCTTACTGATGTGCGTGAGACGGTGCCTGCAGCACCCTCTGTGCCCAGAGCCACTGGCCACAGGGCAGGGGATTCCAGTTGCAGCTGGAGACGCCGGAGACGCCGGAGACTGTTGAAGACCTGGAGAGTAAGACTGGGCCCTCTGGGAGGAGGGATGCCCGTCTAGTTGTCTCCTCGAAACCAGGCTGGCGGGACCAGAAGGGCCAGGAAGAGGGGCTGGAGGGGGTCAGCCTTCTCGGCTTCCCTGGCAGAGTATAAGGGCTGAGGCCTGTCCGGCAGCCTGGGGAGGCTGAATGCCCGGCCTGGCTCGGGTGAGCCGAAGTCGGTCTGGACTGTTGCCACCCGCCTGCCACCCTCACGCTTGCTGCTGCACCGCACCACCATCCTCCGATTCACCGCGTGCTCTGCGGTGGAGGCAGGAGCACCTCGCCCGGAGAGGCCCGGCTCCCTCCTGTGGAGGGGCTGCAGGAAGGCAGCGCTCCCCGCTCCCAGGTGAATCCAGAAGGACTCGGCGACTCCCCGTGTCCTCAGGGCTGTGCCTCTGGGGGTCACTGGGGTCTGGAGCTCCAGTCATGAGCACACATTCCCATTATTTATTCCTTCACCGCATCCGCTCTGGGCAAGCTCTCCCGCATGGAGCTCCTGGGAGCAGCCCGACTGTCCGATTCCCTCCCTGCATCTGTCTCCCCCTCTCCACTCCCACCTCCAGCGGCTTCCACCTGGCATCTCGGCAGCATGCTGGCCCCTCACACGCAATGGGACGTCTGGGGCTACTTGTTCTGTAGGGGAACAAAGCAATCCTGCTGCACCCTGCTGGGGCGGCCAGGAACATGGCAGAGCTGGCCAGGAATATGGCAGGGTCCTGGCTCATACTGGCCTGGCTGGGAGCAGGACACAGTGACCAGAGGGCCTGGGGCTGGCTCTGTCCACCCTGCCTTCAGTGAGCAAGAGGGAACAAATTTTTAACTAAAACAAAACCTGTACATTAGTATATATATGTGTGTGTGTGTGTATATATATATATATGTATATATATATATGTGGCTCTAGCCTCAGTCTCCAGCCCCAGTGGGGTCCTGTATAGCTGACTGGAGGAGGAGAAATTTTACAAACAATTTAGAATAAGAAAATTAAGGCAGTGGGAAAGCAATACCAAATGGTCGTGAAGCAAGTGGCCAGATTCCCTGAGTGGAACACTCCAGGCCTCCACCCCTCGACCTGTGGTTTGTCCTGTTTTTTTGTTTGTTTGTTTGTTTTGATGTATAAAGGAGAGAACTTCTCTCTTGGCGCCCCACCCCCACCCCCACCCCCAGCTTCCAGGGCGAGGGGCTGTGAGTTCCTGCATGACTGTGCTAGCGTTAAGTCTGACTTGATCTTTTTAAAACTGCAAGTGTTGAATACTAGAGATGTTAGACACTTTTTAAAATGTTTTTTAATTAGTCACTTGTGAAAGCAGACAAGCGGCCCCCTCTCCAAGTTCACTTTTTTGACGGTACTAAAGATTCCCAAGGACTTTACAGGACAGCTAACTGTGGCCAGCGTCATCTGGAGGACCCCGCTCAGCTGCATGGGCCAGGCTGCACACCTTGGAGATGGGCTCAGGGCGGCCCCTTGCGTGGGGAAGCAGCGGGGAACCCGAGAACCTGACTGGAACCGGGAAAACGGTTCCCCTCACCCGCTCCACGGGTGATGAGCAGCTCAGGCTCAGGCAGCCCCTCTGACACCCCCGCGGGCTTGTCCCTGGGCCGGCGTGGGGGCAGAGTTGAGGCCTGTCGGAGATTGAGCTTGCTTTTTGGTGGCCACTGCTCTGGCCTGGATTCTAGTCCCAGGTGCACCCTGCTCCTCTGATGCCGCCTGGCTGTGCCTGGGTGTGGACCTCGTTTCCTCCAAAGTCTTCCCTGGATGCTGGCTTCCAGTGGAAGCCCTGTTCTTCCAGTCCCCTGCTCGGCCCTCCTCAGAATCCAGTTCCAACCCTGCGTCCTGAGGCCTCCCGCCTGCAGACAGCCCGAGCTCACCTCCCGAGGCTGCTCTTGGGGAGGGGAGAGGAGGAGGGGAGGCCCACCTAATAGCGCACACCTGTCAGGCGCAAGCACTTTAGCAATATCTGTTTACATGTGAGCTGATCGAGCTGATTCTAAGCCTGCTGTCTGCTCAGAGCAGCAGGTCCCGCCCCTCCCTTCCCACCAGAGCTTGGAGTTAGGTTCTGAGTTTTTGTTAGTGGCTCTCAGTCCTCCAACCTCTAGCTCCCCAGGCGCTGGGCCCAGGCACTGCACCACCACCTCCCAAGCATTGTCCTGCCGGGGGCTCTGACCCTGAGCTCTGGCACTGGCCTGGGGGGTGGGGCCCTGGCAGGAGCCTGGAGGTGGAGTGCCCCTGTGCAGGCCCAGCCCCAGGGAGTCTGGGCTGCAGCACGAAGTGCTGTGCAGGGACACCGTCCCCCCCAGGCGCTGCTGCTATGGCCTGTCCTGCCTCCGGCTGTCCCTTCCAGCCTTCCCCACTCTTGTCTCAGGAGTGCCCGGGGACGGCTCATGCCTTGGTCTGGGAGCCCGGCCTCTCAATATACCTCGAGCTTGCCCTGCACTCCCTGACCCAGGGCGGAGCAGCCAGGGTCACCCCAAGACGGAGGGCCCTGGGTGTTCCCCCCTCCCTGGTCTGACCTTGCTGAGAGCCTCCGCCCTGGTTCTCCCAGTTCTGGATGTGATGGCTCATGTTGGTGCTACACACGCTAGAATAGATATATTTACAGAGAGATATTTTTAAGACGAAGCCCACAATTAGCTGTCCTTACCGCCACAGGGCCCCCCCCACCCAAAAGGAGCAATCCCTCGGCGGCCTGAGCCGCCCCTGCCATGGCCTCTCCCAGGAGCAGTGTGGCTGCAGGGGCGTTCGGCCCACAGATTGTGTAAATACACGGTCATTTCCTATTTTACTGTTCTTCAGATTTAGTACTTGTAAATACAAACATTAAGGAGAGATTAAACATTTTTGCTAAAACTCATGGCTCTGGGCTTTTCTTGCTGAGAGGGGTGTGGGGGTGGCATGTGCCAAACACTGCAAGCACATCCTTGCTCAGAAGTGTCAGTTGTGCCAGGACTAGTGGCCACAGGAGCCAATTGGCCTCCAGGGTTTCAGCTGCCCCCCGGGTGTGCTGCCCAGGCTGGGACTGCATTGCTCCCGTGGCGAAGAGCCTGCAGGTGTCTGGGCCTTGGAGGCCCTTGGAAACCTTCAGAGCCTGTTGTCCCGGGGGCTCCTGTGCAGCAGGGCTGTGCACCCGTGGCTCAGAGAAGTGGTTCCCTGGGGGCCTTTTAAAATGCAGGCTCTGCTACAGAGGGCCTGGGGCAGTCCCCACGCCTGTGGCCAGCAAGCTCGGGGACCTGAGGCCCTAGTTCTGGACTCCACCTTGAACAGCAAGGGGCTAACACTGCATGCCCTGCCTTCTCTGCCAGGAGCTCTGTTTGCAGCCTTGCAGCAGAGAAAGCCCGTTTGGGGATGTTGGCCTTTCCCAGCACAAACCCTGTTCCATCCCGTGGGAATGATGGCATAGGTCTCCGATGGTGAAGATGTTGTGCGGCCTTCGCTGGCTGTGGTCCCGTTTTCTCTGTGGCCCAACAGGGATGCCCTTCCTGCCCAGGGAGTCGGATGAAGCCAAGCCGGGGTCTGGAGGACACACGTGAGATGTGTCCCCAACAGTCATATCTGGTTCTGCTGTGTACCTGATTGATCTTTAGGCTGTCACGAGACAGTGACAATGACAGAGGCTGATTGCTCACTTGTAGTTCAGCCACTGTCCAGGCTTGGCCAGTGAGTCAGCTGGTTTGGACCTCACAGCGACCGTGAGGTAGGGGCTATTATCCCCAACGTATAGACAGGGCGCTGAGGACACACAGGTGTTGCCCAAGGCTGCCCCGTGGTAAGGGGCGGCCAGACGGAAAGCAGGTCCCAGGGAATCAGGAGGGAGGTTCCCAGCGCACCCTGGCAGCACTCCCGCCTGCCTTCCCGCAGTGGCTCCCTCCCTGAGCTCTGACAGCAGGCCGTGCGTCCTAATGCCTCCTGCTCCAAACGGGACCCGCCCTGACAGCCGGCTCTGGCATCACGCTCCGCGCCAGGCTCAAATCACTAAAAAGAAATCAGTATAATCACCATGAAATTGCATCAGAAGCAAATTTAGCAAATGCGGTCCGGTCTGGGGTGTGACATGGCTCGGTCCCCTCCAGCTTTCTGGTACAATCAGCCCTGCCTCAATTACCCTCGTTAGGCTGCCAGGGCCCCAGCCCACCAGCCGGAAAGCCGGCGATCATCTCAGCTGCAATCAGCGCACACCGTGCCGCGATCAAGTGTAATTATGCAACTGGCACAGCGCGGCAAGGAGGCAGGCGCCTTCTGATTGCCGACCCCGGGGCTCACCGAGGGAATTCAAACCATCAGCTATTAGTACGGGGGCTGTCTGCCTATGCAGGGCATGTGGATGGGGGTGTCGGGTGGCAGAGGGTGAGGCTAGCCCACGACCCAGCACCTTCCACTGCATTGTGACGAGACGGCAGACGGCATCAAATAGTAGGCCAGACTGAATAAACACCAAGGTAACTGCATCTGGGTCACAGGCATGAAGAAATCAAAATGGCATGTGAGGGCAGCCAGGGGGGGCAGGGTAGGCCGCTGGGGAGGGCAGTGGTGTGGAGACCTGAGGGACGAGGGGGGCCGGCCATGGTGGTCAGAAGAGCCGAGTGAACGGGCCTGCCTGAGCAATGGGGCGAGGAGGCAGGTGGCACTGTGTGAGGAGAGGCAGCAGCTGTCCAGACCCAGGAGGGGTCCAGGGGGCCTCC